GAGTGTGCATAGATTGCGGAGTGACAAGATATTCCCGGAACACCGATGTATGCCAAGCCCCAAACCTGAAGCCCCCAAAACAAATATACATCCTGAGCCCTGAACATGAAACCCTACAGTGGAACCGCTAGTGAAACGCATGCCTTAAATTCCTAAGCCCCTCCTCTAAACCCTGGGCCCTAAGCCCTTCGAGAGCCGATCTCAGTGTATTCCCCCCGCAACAACGATGACGACTACTGCTACGTCGGTACTACGACCACCAACTTGTCTTTTATCACCAGTATTTTATTGGTGCTGCTTCTGCTCTGCAGGCACAAGTCGTGCCTTTCCTTTGTCTTGTGGGGATGGCCCAGGCGAGGCTGATGTGGTGCGCAACGCGATCAACACGAACGAGTCTCTTGTCGTTGGGTTCCGGGTTCAGGTTAAGGTTGGGGATTTGCTTCATGTCATGTCTTCCACTGACTCGTGGCGCTTCTTCTTCAGAGTTTGCCTGTGTTTGCGTTGTCTATCGACGGTTTGCATGCGACGCCCTTTGTGCCAAGGGTCTACGGCTCCAGCAGCGACGTCGACAAGGACATCTTCTCGAGGACCTCGTGCCGCCACATCAACAGCGACGAGAAGGGAGCCTTTGGGAAACGGGACTGCTCCTACTTCTACATCTTCCAGAACGAGCTCCACGCCAATCACGAGTTTGCCGCCAACTGCGTTCCCTCCACCATCTGCAAGGACTTCGGGCTTTTCAGGGCCATCTGGAAGGAAGACCATCCACAGCCCTGAAACTCCGGTAGAGGTATCCGGCACCTAAACTTGCGGTGAGCAGCTGAAGACTGAGCAACTCCTCTGCCAGAAACTGGCCACGCATATCAGAAACTGCATATCGGACGGCCTCCGCGCATGTGAAGCTGCGCATCGGAAACCAGCAGGCCTCGGAAGCTGCGCAGCGGAAAACGGCGGACATCGGAAAAAGCGCGTCGGAGATCAGCACACGTTGGAAACTGTGAATCGGGAAGCATGCATGGGAAACCGATGCACATCGGAAACTGGCGAGCATCGGAGTTTGAGCAGTGCAAACCGATGATAGATGATATCCAGAAGCAAGAGCATCCATGCCCACGGTGACAACGTCCATGAATCAACCCGTTCTGGGTTTCCCGAATCACCCGGTCTGGACTTCCGAATTAGCCGGTCTTGCTTTCCGAATCACCCACCTGGTTTCCGAATCCGTAATTGTGGTTACCTGAACATCGGTCGCTCACTTGTGTCTTGCTCGTAGCTGCACACGAGTGCAGCTGTCCGGCGTGGAAGACCAAAGCCCAATTGTAGACCCTACGCCCGAACCCAAAACCGCCAAGCATGAAAACCCTAAACCCTAAAGCTTGAGTGGCTTCAGTGGTTTCAGGAGGATGTGGTGGGCATGACCGAGGGAAAGGTCGCTACCTACGGGGTCGTCATGCAGATCCTGCAGCAGAACCTCGGGAAGTTGCAGGGCATCTGGAAGCTGGGACGCTTCTTACGTCGAGGGCTCTAGGATTTCGGAGCTTTCGGAACCCTAAACCCCAGGCACGCAGGGTGAGGGCGAAGGCCTTGAGAACAAGGACGAAGGGGGGCTTCCATGGCTGAGGAGAGGATCGTGTTTTCCGTAATTTCCTCATTCCGGTGACAATAAAATGAGTCAAGTAACCCTCAGACGCTGTAAGACCCTTAGGAAACCTCTCTAATTCTTTTTAGAACGCCCTCTTGAAAAGATCTACTGCACTTGCGACCTTCAGGAAGGGTCCCATGGACGCCTGCATGCACGGCATGACTTTGGTCAACCGGGGCAAACTGAGCGGCCTCTGGAAAGCCCCTCGGTAGAGAGATCTCATGCAATTCGGGCTGCGAGGACCGAACAGCAAGTTTCCATGAATTTTCTGAGCCATAAACCTAGGTGCCCTGAACCCAAAATCCCTAAACCATAAACCTAGGTGCAGGCCTTACCTATGGGTTTTTCACAAGTTTTCAAAGGCTGGAAACTCTGGGATGCTTGTGTGTAGCAGATTCACGGCGGATTTTACCGGCTGAGACTGGAGACCTGAAAGCCCCAAAGCCCTACGACTTGCGACCCCAGCTCCGAAAATGAAACACCCTAGAGCTGTAAACCATAAGGCTTAAACGCCCTTATAGTAGCCTGTGACAAACCCTCAGACGGAGAGAGCCGTGAAGCTCGGCGGCGAGCTGAACTTCATCATGGCGCATCTGACAGGTGGCAAGAGTGAAGCCTTGAAGAGGATTCTGGCCTGCGTTGAGTCATTTCTTTTGAAACATTTTTTCGGAGGGAGGCTTCTAAACGGGTGACCAGCGGCAAGGCATGACAAGGTAAAATGGCAATTTACGCAATGCTTGCGCTCCAGCCGCGAGGCAACAGCAAAGCACAGGAAACACTTGCGCTCCCGCTGTAAAGCTAACTTTTGCATGCCCCGTGGCCTACTAATCACGGTGGCCTCCAAACAGCCCGGCGGGGCACTATGAGCAGTAATCATCCGTATTCATGCAAGGCTAGGTTTTAGTCGCGGTTTTGCCCTCCGCCCCAGCGTTCTGTCGCAAGCATCCTACATGCATGGATTTCCAACACTACTCAAGGTCGTTTCGCAGTGAAAAAACCAACAAACTCGTGGTTGACCACCTATCAAGTAAGCAGCGGCAAGACGCGCGGGTGCAGCGTTTAGGGTTAGGCCTGCCCTCTCCAGCCCAAAGGCAATGACTGAAATTCAGACTTTCGCGAACAGAAACCGTTCGTTGGCATTCTGGCTCAGGACCCTGGATTTCGATGGCATGGTGCCTTGGATGTACTGTTGGACTTCAGAGCTTCAGAGTCTGGCTTCATGAGGTATTGGCATGCAGGTGGGGGATGTGCCTGTGTATATGCTCGTCAATCTACAGGATGTTAGCACCTTCGTACTGCATACTTGGTATCCTCCTGGAGGTCATCCAGATGGGATTTTCATTTTTTAAACTGTGCCAACCTTTTCATACCCCGGGCACTTTCGCTTTCTGTCATGGTCCTCATGTTCATCCGATTGCACTTGGCACTAGCAACACAAAGCTGCCCCCAGCTACAAGTGAACACCAGGGAACTGAACGCCTGTGTTCTCGTGCTCGAGTTCAACTCCTGGCTTGAGATGTAGACACCGATTCAGGGTCTCGGGTTAAGTTTTGTGAAACTACCATACTCTATCTATATATATATACACATATATATACATATATATATATATACATATATTTATAGCAGAGCTGGACCAAAGCCAGCATTTCTTACCCTTCCCATGCTATGATGTGCAAGAAGTTGTTTTTGTACGTGTCTTGACCCTTAGTTCGTGGGCGTTCGGTAGGGGCACAACGACGAGATGGCTGTAAGGGCTCCTATAACGTTCCTACAGAGGATTGGAAGAAACTCCTAGTCCCGGAAGAAAGGGCATAAATACCCTGACCCCAAACCCTAAACCCTAAACCCTAATCCCTCATCCCTAATCCCTAATCCCTGAACCCTAACCCCTAGCCTCCAAGCGGTTGTCGGGGTACAGAAACGGTGAGAAGAAGCCTCCTGGGTGTGCTCGGCATAGGGCAATGTCGAAAGCTCTGCATTGTAGCCTCAGTTCATGAGGCTACAAGATAAGGCTTAGTTGGGGTTTAGGGTTTAGGGGATAGCAGATGTGCTTCTGGGCTCCGCGTTCACTGCGGCACCCTCGTTTTTTAATTGGAGTCGCCTAGGGGACCCAATCTGAAATTCCCAGGCAGAACATAGTTCCTAAACCCTAAACCGAGTGATTTCGTGAAGCCACCCTAAAGTTTAAGCCCTAAACCCTTTCTTTAGGCATGTCGGGGCTTGCAGGCACCAGTTCCGGCCGTCAAGAGCTTCAATAAGTGCTCGAACGATGCCAATATCGGCTACCTCTTCGTGCACAAGAGCCTCCGAAGGAAGGGTTCGGGGTTTGGGGTTGCTAGGGTTTTTGGAGTTTAAGTTTGGGCTTATGTATAGACGGTGTTCGGTTATGGGCGAACATGGGTCAGTCTAGATCTCTTCAGAAAAGGAGCCGCTCCTAAGTGGAATAGGGTTTGATGCAGGGTCGTCGCACCTGTAGTTGGATCGGGTTGGGAAAGGAAAGGATCTTGCTAGTGACCTCCTCTGTTATGGCTGTGTGTTGTGGGATTGGTGGGTTCGTGGCCCACAGGTTTTCGAATTGAACTTGAAGGCACTTGGACATGCAAGCTGCTCTATTCCTGATCCTCCTCTGCCGGACTTTTTTGGCTACTTGACCTTCTCAAGCCGACAAGTTTTGATCGAAGGGCTCGCGGGTTTCGGATGTCAGGTTTGGATTTCCGGTGGCATAAGCCCGAATTATCAGGTTCCGTTTGACTCAGCTGTTGGCACTGAAGTGCATGCGCGTGAATCTCTTTAGCAATTATGAGCGACGGACAAGACTGCAGAGTTCGGAGTACGTCTCTATTTTTCCATGAGAGCAGGCTTAAACTCAGCTTGTCGACGCTTGTTCTTGATGCTTCCTTCCTCCTTGGATTCAGAAAGGGAGGCTTTTCACGACCCTTTTTTTGAAGAACTAGGCCGTCCTCCCGAAACGGCTCCTTCGGTGATTGACAGGTATTGAACCCCCCATGTGGACCGGGAAGGCGCCAACAAACCAAAGCCTTCCCAGAAACCCTAAGCTCTAACCCCCTAAACCCTCAAAAGAGAAAACACCCCTTTCACCCCAAAAAGGAAAAACACTCTAGGAGCTGGATCTTAAACCATCAGGTCTCCGTCCCAATCAATGTGTCCGCGCCAAGCTGTCATGATTGAACGAGACAGAACCGAGGAACTTGTATTGGGCCGGCCACCAGAGCACCATCGACCTAGATGCCTTCACGAAATTCAAGGAGCGGGGTGTTGGGTTTGGGGTTTGTACAGGCTTAGGTTGGAGGGTCTCGGGTTCAGGCTTTCAGCGTTTGGGGGTGTAACTACGAACTCCAGAACAGAAGCTCGAAACCCGCAGTCCCAAGGCCTAGGCCCCAAAGACCAACTGCACCCTCAAACCCTAACACCTAACACCCCTAAAACCCCAACCCCAAATCCCTAAGACCCTAACCCCTAACACCCCTAAAACCCTAAAGCCCAAGTCCAATAATTGCAGGAACAGAAGACCAAAGAGAAGATGCAAAAGAAGCAGGCCGCAGAGAAGGCCTTGGCAGCGGCTCAGATTGCGGCGGCACAGAAGGCGGAGGAGCAGAAGGCGGAAGAGGTGCTCTTTCGGATTGATAGGGTTCCGGGTCTAGGGTTTAGGGTTTAGGGATACTGTTGATGATATAAATCCTGCATTACCGTAAGGACCCTAAACTATGGGAATTATGGCATAGTCCTTACTGTGGGTAATGCAGGATTTACATCATCAACCGTAGGGTTTAGGGCCCGGGGGAAGTAGGGTTCTGTGCAACACAACCATGGTTGCAATTACCTGTAAGCCCTGCTTGGGTTACCCGTACTTGTAAACGCTTCGTGTCGTACGCCTTCGCCGGGTCGACAGGTGAAGAGTAGTCTCCACAAAGCGGCCAGGGGGTTCCGCGGAGGCATGGGGCAGCCGACCCCTGTTGGCTTTCAAAGCAAAAAGCCAAATTTCAAAAAGGGGAGGGTTGGGGGGTGGTTGAGAAGGGGAAAGGACCTTTCCAGACAGGAAGGAGGGCACCTCTGACCGCTTCGGCCCGGGAATCCCATAGCAACCTGGCAGAACCCTAGACTCTAAAACCTCATAACTACCCATGCACCCATAGCTTATAGAAGCCTTATATAGCGGTTGAGAAAGACATGCCTTTACCTACCCACGAACCCTTAAATCCCATACGAACCTTATGAGAAGCCCTGAGGAAGCCGTATCTATTGTGACCCATGGACCCTGAAAGCTCTTTTGAAACCTTATGAGAAGTCCAAAGTATCATCCTACACTTACAACCACCCAAGAACCCCTAAACCCTGTTTCAGAAACCTCACGAGAAGCCCTATCCCTGACACCGAAACCCGAACCCCGAGACCCAAGAGCCTAAACCCCAAGCCCGAAGCACCACTTCTTGCAAACCTTGCTTGAAGGCGCTGCAGGCCGCGGGGGAGGGGTCGCCCGAGGAGTTCGAGGATAATCAGGCCGGATATCTTCTTCCCAGATATTCCAAAACCCCTTCAGTTAGGGAATACACCTTAAATGACAGAGGGATTCTTGGCATGATCTGAGGAGTCTTCCTTAATGAAGGAATCTACCACAAGTTGCAGAGGGATCCTGGTTTTTGATGTAAGGTGTATTCTTTCACTGCAGGTTGTTCGGAGCCCTAAACCCGAAACCCTAAACCCTAAACAAAGTCCAACAAGCGTTTTATAAGCTGCCTAGTACTGGGAGTTTTTGCAGGGTCTTTCACATAGCCGAGTCTCCCTTTATTGAGGCAACGGCCCTCCAGTCCCGGGGTTTAGGATTTAGGGTTTAGAGTTTAGGGTTTAAAGGGTTTAGGGTCATAGTAAGAAGTGCTGGTATGATGGAAGCGAGTATCGATGAATTGTGTGGTATTGGGCCCTCTGGGTTTCTGGTTTGGGGTTCAGGGTTAAGGTGAAGAAAACCCTTTGTGCGGTCTTGCTAGGGGTTCGGGGATGTAGGGTGCAGGGTTTAGGGCTTGGGGTTGAAGGGTCAGGGCTTGGGTCTTAGTGGTCTCAATATCCCTAAGACCCCTGAACCCTAAACCCTAAACCCCAAGACCAAGACTTCACGAAGTCCGGAGCCGACTTCGACTCTTCACGCAAGGCTCGAGAACACTCAAGGGCCCGTTAACCAGGCAGTTGTGTTCGAGGAAGCCTCCGAAGAAGAACAGTAATATAGGAACCTGATGAAGAAACCCTGGGCCTTTATTAGGGTTCTTAATATGAACCCTAATATAGTCGGGTTACAGGGCCAGGGTTTCTTAATCAGGTTGTTACATGAATGAGAATGAACAAGGCGAAGAGCAAGAGCGCTAATAAAACATAGCAAGACTAATAATCTGATCATCATCATGGTATTTTTATAACCCTTATATACCCCTTACATAGTCTCATAAAGCCCCTATATAACCCCAAGGGTCCCTTTAAGGGTCTCTCCTTTAGTCCCTTGAAGGTAAGAGTAGTCATGAGGTCTTGAGACCCAGGGTTTCGGATCCCAGCATCCAGGACTTTGCCAACTTTGGAAGCCCTACCTCCACCTGAAAAAGCTAGCTTTAGAGTGACATGTAAAAGAAGTTCATACTAAGCCCGAAGCATGCAGGTTTTGGGGATACAGAACACCAAACCCTCCTTGCGCAACCTGAAAACCCTAGCCTTTAAACGACCCTCAAATCCGCAAACGTCCTAAACCCAACGTCCTAAACCCTAAACCCCTAATCCCGAAACCCTAAACGCCTAAACCCAGTAACCCCCAAATTCCGTAAGAGGAGGGTCGCGGCAATGCCTCCCCCCAGGCTTCATTTTACTGTCCTGTGTCGCTGTTTTCATTGGGCGCGGCGTCGGAACAGGCGTATGTCACTGAGCCCCAGACCGTAAACCTTAAATTCGAAGGCTTAAGCTCCGTCCCAAATCCCACAAACCTAAGTCCAAATAGCGCGGAGAGCACTAAACGCCCTAACTACTCAACCCTAAGCCCAGAAGGCCCCAAAATAGCCCCAAACCCAACCGCTTAGCCGGGAACCCAAAGCCATAAATCCTCAAAGCATTCCCCCCAAAAAAGGCTAAAAATGCTAATGTAGGAACCTGATTATATTCGGGTTCTTAATATGAACCCTAATAAAATGGGGTTCTAGGGCCAGGGTTTCTTAATCAGGTTCCTACATTACAGAGTCCTAAAGCCTCGCGGTGCGCCGTCCTTGGGAGGTCACCGCGCGCCGTCTGTCGGAGCCGCAAGTCCTGGTCTGAGTTTTGCAACCCTACTTGGAGGTTCTAAGTCTGATTGTAAGTCGGGTTATAACTTCCCCCTAATATGTGTTATAACTATAGTTACCCTACTTATGACCCCACTTATATCTGGGTCCTTGTTGGATACAATTTTATACATTTTTGTCATATCCAAAAACCCTAACAAGGATTAGACATGATCATTTTTGATATGGCCACAACAGGGAACTCATGGCTAGTAGCAAGTGGGGGTTAATTGTAGGGCGCCTTTGGGGGTTCTGTGGGTTGGGGTTTAGGGCTTTGGGTAGTTGTAAGCGGGATTATAAGTAGGATAGCTATAGCTATGATCAATCTTGGGGGACTGATGACCCTGACTGATAACGACTACCCATGAGCCTCCAAGTGAACACCATGAAAAGCCCATATCCTGGAATCCTATAAAACCGTTTCCACAGCCTAAAGCGATTCCTTAAAGTTTGAACCCTCAAAAGCCCTTTCTCCTTAAAGGAACCATAAGGGTTCCTATAAAGGGATCTACAAGCGTTTCTTTGAAGGATCCCTATAAGGGTTCCTCTAAAGGGGCCCTTTCTCTTTGAAGCGGAACATAATCCAGTACCATGGCCCAGCAAGCTCTATCACGCCCTCGTTTTCAATCGCCGACTCCCTCCGTCGGAATTTCGCCTTTGGGCACGAAGTGCTCCAAAGGCGCGAAGAGGGCCGAGGACCCGTGAGGTCCTCCAGAGGCATCTTTCATATCTTTCGAGTGCTGGGTCTTTGCTCAAGGGACTGGAAAGGGTTTCCTGTAAACTCTCTTAAAATGGCCCTTCATTCAACCTTGAAGAATTTACTGCACGTACCAAGCAGTGTGATAGGTACACACTATGGAGTTTTAACAAGAGAACTGGAGTCGGAGAGGGTCGGCACGCGGCGTACGCGGCAAAGGTTCCCCGGTGCAATGTTGCTGGCCCCAGAGTCATTCTGCATTACAATACATGGACCGCGTGCCCGTCCTCTTGAATCCCGCCGGTGAAAGGCGCCACAACCAGTACTTCGAGGAATCCTGACTCCGCCGAAGCACTGCGGCCGTGCTCATGAATCCCGCCAGTATTTGGGGTTAAAGCGTTTTGACGGCTCGTGGTCTCCTGGTTGTGGTGGTCGTCGTGGTGCTCATAGTAGATGAAAGAAGTTCCTGAGCAAGAACCCAGGAGTGCAGAATCATGCAAGACTGCAACAGAAAGGGCCTTCGCTTCAGCTCAAAGGAAGCTCAAGCAGTTGATCCTTGCTGTAGGAACTGCGCTGAAGCCTGCGTGAAGCCGTGAGAAAAGCCTTGCTCTCTGCGGCATGCTTCAAAGTTAGGGTTTATGTTCAAGGCTGTAGGGGGGTCCCGAATCGAACAGAACTTAGAGATGTTAAGTCTTCGCACGGGTTCTCACTGCTGACGTTCTCGGCAGGATGTGATCAGTTGAGCCTTGCTGACAACTTGCTGTGTCCCTTCTTGTCTCTACGATCTCACTGCAGTAGCTCAGTAGAGCCCTTGTGGATATAAGTATCTCAAATGCTACTTCCAGCTTAAAGTGCTGGTCCAGGCAGGCCCTCTGGCAGGCTCCTTGCCATGCCTGTTGATGACTGAAAATCAGCGGACTCGACTACAATGTGGGAACCTCAGGAAGCAGTATCGACATTAAGACACTTTCTTCGTGAGGTTCCTGCAGCATCTCGATGGGTACAGAGACTTTTGCTTGAGCGGCTGTTCCTTGCTGTACGGCTTAAATTCCAAGCAAGTCTCACACCACAGATACATCCGCCAACATGGTCGACCAATCAGCAATCAGCAGCAAATCATTGCAGCTGTATCTTCACGGATCACACAGAGAGCCCAATACCCTGTCATCCTACCTTAAGTCGTATAAGGATAGTTCCCAAAAACCCTTCTGAAAGTCACGAACATGAACCGGCATGAAGCCGTGTAGCTATAAAGTCAACGCGAAACGCTCGTCATTCGGGGGTGGCAGGTTTACTTAAGCCCCGTTTGCAGCCATGGCGGCATCACCGGAAAGCGCAGACCCCAGTCTCGCTCGTCCCCGTCCTCTTCTTGCTGGCTTCTCGTGTTGAGGACCTCAGTTCATTGTGATAGCTTCGCAAGGAAATCATAAGACTTTCTTTGAGGGTTCCATAAGTATTGCATAAGGATTGTATTGGGGTTTGCAAGGGTTTGCGAAGAGAAAGTCGGGGCCGGGAACGGGCTTCAGTGTGGTCGGCTGACATGCCGCGGCCACCCTGCTCCCGGATTTGGGGCGAAGGAGGGGATTTTGGCTTCTTCTGTGCCCCTGAGCCCGAAACCGTTTACCCTTTGCCCTAAACCCTAAGCCCTAAGCCCTGAGCCCCAAAACCCTAAACCCTAAACCGGGACCAAGGCGCATCCGCCATGGAGGTCCTGCAGAAGGACTACCAGGCCCCTCTGTGGCCGCTCTTTCAGAGAAAGGGGAGGGCTGATTTTACTTTGGGGTGTAGGGTTCTGAACTCTCAGAAAGTCTCTGTCCTTTTTGTGAAAAGAGGAATGATAGGGCCTTATAGAATCCAATGCACCGTGATTGAGTACTGGATTGTGGCTAATGGAGGTTATTCTTGTGACTACGGTTGTTATCACCACCAGCATGGTCATCATCATCATCATCATCACCACCGTCTGTCCAACTACGACGGTGACTGCTACCTTCGCAGTCCAAGCTATCGAGGGAGCAAGGACGAAACCAGTGGCAATGGGGAATGCATACATATCACGACCCATCACCTGTAGCAGGACGCTGGATCCCTTGTACGGCTGCTTGTACCAAGCATTCCACTACATAGGCTGTATACTTCGCTTCGCAGCCCCCCTGTCCGTGAAAAATCTTCGCTCGAGCCGAGCTTGGAAGAAGACGATCAAAGGAACTCAACTTTCCGAAGCACCTTGTGCAGATGACATGTGCTTTGATGGTTGAAGCGCTCGTGCTTTACTGGGCTGCTAAATACATCCAGACAGTATCCCACACGTGGCCTTTGAAACTTAACATAAGCCAGCGCACCCATAGGGTTTCGTGATTAGACGCCTACAGATAGTTCCCCAAAGCCCGAACTCCCCGAATCTGGATGAGCATTCCCCTGCGGCTTTCCCAGCGAGGACACCATTATGGAGCTCACGGGCAAGAAGAAGGAGATTGTGGAGCAGAGACCCCAGCACTTGCACACAAACTCGACCAGCAAGGATTTCGGGTTTGGAGAACTTCCATCCCCCCAAATCTCAAGCTCGATTTCCCTAGTTTCTCTTCCGAGCCCTTGCACCGCAATCCTGTTTTGGTTTCACAGGTAGGCTCATGAGTTACCTTTGCATCGCAAGCTTTTGTTGCCTTGGTCATCGGATCCTTATTGCGATGCCCTGATCCTCCAAAGCTAAGCTGTGATCTGCATCCCTGACTCTTGACCCCAAGCCATGGACGGTCACAACTAATATTGGCTCTAAGACTGTGGCATTGCATAAACCCCAAAATCCTATATAAACCCCTAACCCTGAACCCTAAACCCTAAAGCTCTAAACCCCTAAACCCGGAAGCCTAAACCCTAAACACCTAAATCCCTAAACCCTGAACCCTTCCCCTTAAACCACCGAAACCCTGGAAGATTCTACAACTTTCAGAGACCTCAAACCGCCCAGTCCCTTCCGGCTCGAGTACGAGAAGCTCTATAAGGCCAGGGAAGGACTCCTGCTTTTCTCGTGTATATATATATATTATATATACACACATATACATATACATATACCTATATATATATATATATCTATATATATACACACACATACATACATGTGTGTGTATATATATATATATTTATATTTATATTTATATTTAGATTTATACATATGTTTAATTTTTATATTGATATTTATATTTGTATTTATATTTATATGCACACATTCATTTACTCATTCATTTATCCATGTCTATGTGTATTGTGTTATACACTATTATAGTAAAGCATAGTTCAGTTTAGTCTAGTCTAGTCTAGTAAGTTATCTATAGGTAAGGGCTTCAGGTTGCTGTGAAGGATCCAGGGTGACACGGTGTTTCGGCTTTCGGGTTTAGGGTTAGGGTTTTTTGTTCGTGACGCTTTCGATTTTGGTGTATTTCATGTTGTTGCATGTCTGCCTTGACAGGGTTTGAAGGGTTTTATCTGCAGGAATTGTCAAAGTTGCTGCAGAGTTTGAAAAGGTTGGGGTTTCGAGCGGAATTGAACCGGTAGTGTCAGGTTTCTCAAGGGGTTGCTGCAAGGCCCTACGCCCTAAACCCTAAATCCCAAGCCCCGAACCACGAACAAAAACATAAGATCGGGGCTTCGGGGTTTGTGACCTTTGGGGCGCGCTGAGAAAGGGGCTCAAATAAGCGAGGACCTCCTTGAAGCGACCCTTGAACCCTGAACCCCTGTGCCTTACGTTCAAGTTTTAAGGTCCAACTAGAGCCGAAACCTTAAGCCGAAAAAACCCTCAAACCCAATCTAGAAGCCTGAAGAAATACCCTGAGTCTAATTATTGAGGCCACACTATAGTACACCTGTACATCCCCAACCGATTAAACAAAAGGGTCACGCCTACGTCTCGAAATTCCAGACCCCCGAGACTCCAAACCTAGCTCTTGCACCCCGGAGGCTTTAATGCGCTCGCATGAGGCGGAGAAGCACGGAGCTCAGATGCTTGAACCGCCATATTCTGGTCTGCGATGTAGCGGCTTAGGTGTTAGGGTCTCAGGGTTCAGGGTTTGGGGTGTCTGCTTTAAGGTTTAGAGGTTTAAGGGTTTAAGGGTGTTTAAGTTACTAGGGTTCAAGGCTTAGAGTTTTCGAGTTGAAGGGTTTATGCTTTAAGGGTTTAGGGTTCAGAGACCGAGGATAATCTACCTGTGGGCAGTGGCTTAAGCCCGAAGGTTCGGAAGCTTCAGCTAGACCCAGAACCCCTAAACCCTAAACCCCTAAACCCCTAAACCCTCAACCCT